AGCCTCGTGACTGGTCGTGATCAAAACTGGTCATGACGAACGTGCAGCAGTTTTCTCCATTATAGATCATTATATCCTCGACTTTTTTGTGTCATTTTGAAGAGCTTAAAATTCTGAGTAGAAAACATCAAACAGAATTATTTTTTCATATCCACCGTGGAAACTATTATCGAAGAATTTTTGTTTTCTTTTTGGTCACGAAAGACTGGTCACGCAGGTCTCTACTGATGATGCTTCTAGTGTGAATTTCAAGGTCCTGTTTTTAAGCGAAATTCAAGTATTTGTGGGAAATATTCAAAGTCTTGTTGTATTTCAAGATTCAATACACTCCGATTGTCTATCAGTGACTCGTTTAAGTTCTAAATATATACTGCAGATCTTTTCAAGTTAATATAGAAAAGAAAAAGATTGTGTACATATGATATTAGTTACATTCCTATTGCTATTAATTAATAAATTTCTAATTACTTTGTTGAAAATCTTCAGCATTTGACAAAAATTCATCAGCAATTTCAGTACCAAGTTCATCATCTTGTGCTTCTCTTGCTAAACTTTTGTTTAATCGACATGCAATAAGCGCTTTAGCTAATGCTTCTTCACCGTGTGCCCAAAAAAATAATGCCATTTCATGTCGTTTTGTTAAAACAGCAAATATAAGCAATTCATTATAAGGAAAATCAAATTTTGGATCTTCACACACTGAATTCTTTTTCATATCATCATTCAACACATTATTATTCATTTGTGCATGTTGCTCTTTTTGTTCAGCATCAATATAAACATTAAAATTTTGTCGTTCACTAAATGGTTGTCGTACACATAAATGACGTATATTACGACGTGTATATGATGAACGATAACCTTGTCCAATAAGTTTTTCTACAATAAGGCCTACTTCATATAATGAATAAATTCTTGTTTGTACATGATGATTTGCACTACGTATAACATCTTTAGCAATTAAATCTAGTGTTGTATTTGACCCACATGCATTATATAATGCTTGTAAACGATTAAATGTAAGAAAATTTTTAATCGATACACCATTTTCAATAAGTAATTTAATATATTCAACACGATTATCAACTAGTACTTCAAACATGCATACATCTAATTGAGCTTGAGTTAATTCTAAACGTTTTGTAAGTAAGCATGTTTGAGCTATATCAGGTCGATTCCATGAAAGTGTTAAACGAAATTGTTCAAGTGCACTTGCTTTATGATTTCTTTAACAGAAAAGAAGAAACTAATAGTAGTTAGTTTTCGTTTTTTGATGTTAATATTTTAAATTTTGCTTCGATCTTTAGTAGAAATAAAAAGACTTTCCATACATGGATAATAAATCCTCAATTGACTTTAGACAAAAGATTATGGAGTTTAAATTCTTAATTGATTATTTTTTATCATAGTATATGTAATCAACGATATAAATAATTGAAGCTTTCATCAAGTGTTAAGAAGTATTACATTTCTATTTTCTTACATTTGCAAAAAAAGTAGAACATTTCTCTTTGATTTAATAATTTTCTTTTTCTGTTTTACAATAATAAACAAAATCATTCATTGTCAGATCTCTAATCTTCAAACAATTAGTAGAAAAATATAGGTATTCATTCTTTAATTAATTTCAAAATCTTTCAAGCAAAAAAGAAAACATCTCTAATATTAATTATCACATATCATCGTGTCTTTTTTGTTTTTGTACTGTTATAAATATCCAGAAATACAATCAATATGTAAGTATGGCGTATGTAAGATAATACTAGATAACATGCCTTGATAATCCTATTACTTAGTATGAAATCAACCATTGTATTCAGCTACTGCTCTTGAATGAATGAAAGAAAAAAAGTAGTAGGACGCATAAAAATATATGAAAATAACTTTGTTTTCGGTTTTCACAACGGAAATGTCTCAGAATCATTAAGACCGAAATTTTTAAAAAACTGGTTGGTCTGAATTACATTTTTCATTACATCAAATTAACAAAATCTTTAAAAAAACAAGACATACCGAAGAAGAGTTCGTAGAATAGCTTGATCAACATCTTCTTGTTCTCTTGATCCATCATCATCCATTCTATAGATTGTTATATATTGTCTTTTTCTCATACATACAATTAATTCAACATAAACTTTTTCAGCTTGTCGTCGATTATAATTAAATGTTTTTTCAATAGCATTTAATAATTGTTCTTGTAAATCAGCTGCCATTGTTCTAAAATAACAGTAAGACATATTTCCTGTTACTTGTTTATGATTATAATTAAATAATACCCGTCATTTTGTGTATGTTTATATGTAAATGCAATAAGATCAGCAGCGCGACCACTTCCATCAATAACTACAACAGAAACCTAAATAAAAACAAAACAAAACATGTATAACTTTTGATAATTAAATATTACTGGTGGTTCTTCAGTAACATATTCAAGTACGGTACGAATTGTATTTGTTCCACCTTCAACAATAACACATACAACAGGCACATTTTGTTTTCCAACATGACCTTGCATTGGAAAAAAAAAGAGAAAACAAAAAACAAAAAACAAATGAGATTAGAAAGAAAAATAAAAGTTATTTTTTTTTAGGTTTACCATGAAATGATATTTTTTGTTGTGAAAGATATTTTTCAAAACGTTTTCGAAGTATAACTTCTCCACCATATTTTCTTACTGTTCCATTATCAACAAGTAAAAAACAACAGTGTGAACTATTTAATGTTGCACAATTGTCTTCTGTAACAACTGCTGCTGAATGATAAGAAACTGTTTGCTAAAAAAATAAAGAAAGAAGAAATGTATATTTTTTTTTTTTTTGGTATTTTTGAGTACATAAAATATAAATGTTATGATTATATTTACATTTTGTCCTTTTAATTGTTCGCGTCCTTGAATAACACCCCATGGTGCAATACCAACGACAACAATATTTGAGCGAATTCTTGATCTCATAAAAAGTGCATCACCAACATGTTTAACAACACCTGTATTAATACCTGATGTAAATATCCATGCACCAGCAGTTTTTGCTGCTTTTAAAAGACCACGTTTTAATACTTGACGAAGACGGGGTTCTAATTCAAAATTTTGTATACCACCATGAATACTAACAATCTAAAATAAATATATAAATCATAAATATGTTTTCTTAATAGCTTTATTTTTTTCTCTTTACAAGATTCGGTAATTGTAATCGCCATTGTTTTGTAAAAAGATGAACAATTTGGGATGGATTTGTATCATAAGCTAAGCGTAAATAATGTGCTTTGGCTGGATGAAGCATATTTTCAAACTCAATAATTCCATATGCGTTTGTTGGATAAAGTATTGTATGTTTAGCAACATTCCATCGTTCAAAATCATGTTCAGATTGATCAAGGGACGGATTAGTGAAAAGAAGTTTGGTTGATATAGATTTAAGCGCACGATTGGGTGGCTTTACAGGAGATAATGGATGATATTCAGCACTATTATCATGTTCGGATTCTGGTCGACCACAAAAACAACGAGATGGATCGTTAGTTGTTGAAATAAATTTTTTACATCGCCGTCGAAAAAAAACCATACACAAATTGGAATCATTTATAGGAGCCTAATAATAAAAATAAAGCAAACAAATTTTTTTATGTTTATTTAATTAATCATATTTAATCAATCAATTTTCTTACAAAATGTCCATAGAGTCTATTCAACATATCGTTTTTTTCTTTCTTGTTTATCATAAATGTGGATTATTCACTGGAGAAAAAATTCTCCTTCTCTATTATCATCCGAGTCACGCAAACATCTCTAATTTCCTTAAATGATTAACTCAAACGAACGAACACACACACATCTATTTCTATATAGTCAACAAGACTGTCTTTAGAATACAAGAGAATATATATGTATATAGGGAAAGATTTATATTACTTCTTTGTTAGCCATTATCATGACCAGCGCCAATAGAAAATACTTGATTCGACTGATGCTTTTCTGCAAGTAATCGTTGTTTCATCAATAACAAAATATAGGTAGGGTTGAATAAATTTAAAATGTTTTCGTGTTGAAATTAATCGTCTGAAAAAGAAAAAATAACGTCATAGTATTCGATAGAAAACATCATTGATGATTCTTATGAAATAACATAAGAAAAGGGCAAAAAATACCAAATGCAAGAGGATTAGTTTATAATAACAGAATTCTGTTGACATTAATAGATAATGAAATACTTTCATCGTGTCTATTATTTTTAAAGGAAGACAACGGAATACAGTTATTTGATTCATTCAATTACGTACTTCAATTGTTTTTTTACCTCCTAAGTGGAAACAGTTGAAATCATAGAAAAAACAATAACAACCATGAAAAAATGATTTACTCTCAGTTTACATACTTTTAAATAGAACTTATTGCGTCTTTCTATGCAATTGGTATAAGAAATGCGAATAATCTACATCGATCAACGAGTGTCAATAATTCAGCATTTAAAAACTAATTCTTAAGTTTTTTCTTGCCCTCAGGCTATATTCATTTTACGAATAGTTGAGTAGCGCATACACGAAACACAAGGAACCTTGCACTTTATATTTCAAACATACCAAAAACAGTTTTTTCTTTCAGTATGCCGTAATTGATTGTGTCAAGCTTGAAATGATATGCATGTACGAATACATGCATTCAATCTCTTTGTTTACTTCATTTACATGAAGCAAAGAAAGAAAAAAACTTACCATATTTTCACACTTAATGTCCTAGCTATCTATCTATAGTGAAAATAAGACGAAGAAAAAAATAGACGCCATGATCAGTGCAGTTTCCTTTAGTACAGGTGGCGCTAAAATGATATTATTAATGGTTGGATTAATTTCTTTGTTTTCTTCTAATCAGCTGTTTACAGTCTTCCGAGATTAGTATTTGATGAATCCTACTCTAAAGACTTTTTGTTTTTAATCTACAAGGTTACATCTTTTTTCCGATGATGTCAAGAATGACTATGTTGATGTATTTTTGCTCAATTACATTCTAGATATGTCTGATGAAAATAATGAACGACAACAAGATTCATCTAATGTCAATTCCAATCATGAAAAAATTTCACCATTATCAAATCGTTTTCTAGTTGCACATTCATCATCAGTACATGAATCAACAACAACTGATGTAGTAGTTACTCGTATACAAGATGATTCATTTCAATCATCATCATCAAATTCAAAAAGTAGTTCAAGTACAACGAGTCGTTCATCACGTCGACAATTTTTAATTATACAACATCAGTCAGCTGTTAATTCACCATTGATGTATTCTCGTTGTACTTCACTTGGTTCATTAGCAATCTATGATATACGATCATCATGTAATGATTCATATGCATCTGAATGCAGTGCAATAAAACCGTCTGGTATAATATCACCAAGTGACATACCTGATTCACCACCATATGAACCAGAAATCATTGAAGAAGAACATGAACATATAAAACATAATAATCGTACATTAACTATGAATACAACATCAAGTCATAATCGAACAACAATGATCGGTGAAATAGTTATTGAAAAAACTTTTACACTTAATCAATATGAATTAATTTCAAATCAAAATAATGATAATGAACATCTTGATGAAGTTATTGTTTATTTATATGATAAATCTGATATAAATCAAAATTATATTAATAAATCATTGTATGGTAATGAAATTATATTTGATGATGATAGTTACCGTATATTTAATAGTCAAATTGATGAAAATGATTTATTGATAGATGATAATAATATGCTAAATAAGTCATCATTTAATGTTCGTTTACATGAAAATTTAAGTGTTATTACAGAAGAATCTTCTTTTATTGAAGATAATCTTAATTCCAATAATGAAAATAATAGTATTAAAATTCTTTATGATCTTATTAAAAAACCACATTGGACAAATAAAAATACTTTAATAAAACAACAATTATTAACTAATGCATCAGAAAACCCTAATACTTCATTCAGTAGTAGTCTTAGTCTTGATAGTAATAGTAATAATCAAACAGATGATGATGATGATGAATATGATCCAGAAAAAGGACGATAACTAATACAACGTCTTATTGAAGAAACACTTGCTCGAAGGTTCAATAAAAACTTCAATTTTATTTCTATAATCTATTTGTTGTTTTTAAATGTAGATCTCTACAAACAGATTTTCTTCATTCAACTTCATGTGTCCTTTGTCCATCAAACACACCAATAACTATACCACCACGAAGTATATCATCATCATCAAGTTCAATATCGACGTCTACGAAATCTTGTACATGTTTAACGAATAGATTATCAAATATAATTCAACAACCACAACGTAGTCAAAGTTCACCAGCTAGACCTTCAACAATTGTTATTGACGAGCCAAAACGACAACTAACCAAACCGAAAGTAAATCTTTTTATACGGAAAAATATTTTATTATTTTGAGTATTTTCTAGGAAAAGACAGTACATCATACACGTTCATAATTTTTACGTCTTTGTCAAGCTCAACAAAATAAACTACTCTCTCAACAAGATAAAAGACTCTAGTCAGATATAATCATTGATAGATGAAAATCAGATTTATTATTGCTTGATTTTTACGCCTGCATGTTTCTTTTTGTTCAATGAATAATTTAAAACCATAAGAAAAAGCTGTTAGTATAATTTCAGTGAGATTAAAATATGAAACACAATATATCTGCTCTTGCTAATCACATAGAGATTGTTTTATTCTATCTATTTTGGGACACGTCTCTTCGGCATATTTTTACTTAATCCTCTAGAATAGCAATAACGAAGTACATTATATATTATACAGAAATTTTATTAATTTTTACTCTATAATCCTCAACATTCTTTTTAGATTGTGTTTCATAAAATTTTCATATTTTATTTAAAATCAATGACTATCTGGAAGTATTGGGTTGTAACATAAGTACTGCAGGTTTTTTGTTCACTAACAAAGGTCGGCGGGGCATAAGGTCGAGCTCTTAGTTCATAGTGAAGTCGACGCAGAATTTTACGGCGAATCTTTTGGTAGCAAAACATAGCCTTTCTGAAAGATTCTGGGTCGCTTATATTCGAAATACTGAAGATAGCTCATGGCATGCCTTACGAGGGCGGTACAAAGGGGCGAATTTTTCAGCGAAAAAAAGCTCAAGAAATCGTTTGAAATACACATAAGTCGACTCAGTTTTTGATGCTGATTCCAAATATGTTATTAGATTTGAGACAGATCGTATTCTTTTGATGGAAATCTGCAAAATACCAGTTAGAAAAGCAAAATATGATGACCCAAGAAAAGTGTGCTTGAGTATTTCTCAAGTAGCCAATGTTTTCTGAGTTAGGAAAATGTATGATTTCGTAGCACATTGTCAGGTCTACAAGAAAAGATCAAAAGCACAATAAGTCTTTTTTCTTTGCTGAGAAATATGAAAAGAGTGAGTGGAATTGACTTGAGATATACATTGACCCACCTCGATCTGAACTGTGTTTTCGTCACCATGTCTCGAGGTTTCAATGTTTCTGGCTGAAATTTTTACTGGATATACAACTCAAAATAGGCAATCTACTGGCATGATTTTCGGCACGAACCATCTACTTAAAGAATAATGATGATATGTCGCAATGCCATGACCCATCTTCAGTATTTTGATTATAAATGACCCAGGATCGTTCAGAAAGGCTACGTTTTGTTACCAAAAGATTCGCCGTAAAATTCTGCGTCGACTTCACTATGAACTAAGAGCTCGACCTTATGCGCCGCCGATCTTTGTTGGTGAACAAAAAACCTGCAGAACTTATGTTACAACCTAATATTTACGAAGTAATCGAAGAATATATTTCTTTCATGCTCTTATCTCATAATTTTCTTTGAAGAATGCACTTTAAGTTTTATTTTATCATCACATAGGAAAATGATACCTATTTTGAATGAAATTGGTTTTTATTTACAATGCAAAATATTTGACTACTTTGGTCTTTATGAATAAGAGAAACATAGCTTTGATTTAACTATCTTCGCATGTCTAAAAAAGATTGGCATATTGTTGGAAAGAAAATATCACGAGATTTGCTAAAAAAATACTCCTTCTACTTTTGAATGATAGAACAAGTAACAATAAAGAGAAGTTCAAATTGTCATTTATTAACGTCAAAACACAAAAAAGCTACAGCTGTCCATAGTTTTTGACATACGAACAATCAAGAGCATTCTTTTACCACAAATTTCACCGTCATTGTCTATTTTTTCAATTATACTTGATGAAGTTTAGATGGTTTTATCATTGTCAATTCTAACTTTATGAATATTTCTATTGTTATAAAAATTGTACCATTGTTTTCAATCCTGTAAATTCATTTTCTTCTTGAGTTTCAAACTTTATTATTATTATCAGTACTCATTGACATATTGAAAACTGATTGCGTATATATCTTTTGATAAAAAAATAAGAAATATAATTGAATAACACTTCATAAAAAACCTAAACAACGTCATTGAAATCTCTTACTTAAACAAACAACAAGAAATTAGCTTTAAATTCTAGATATGAAAAATATAAGAAAAAAGCCAAAAAATACCATATTATGTTGTGGAAGTATCTCGAAAGTTGATTTGTCGAGATGGAAACGTCGACATTGAAGAGAATTTTCAGCTGATCGAAAAGAGAACAGTTCAAAGTATCTAGAGCGATGAAAAGACCAAAACTTGGGAAACAAATTGATTTTCACGTCCGGAAAGGAAGTCTTCTTAAAAAAGGATATGTGTCTATAACTAATTAATGATTACAACTTACAACAAATTTATTTGATTATCAGAACCAAAACGATCTCGTCTACAATCACACCGAAACCCACACTCAACACCAAACCGTTTTCTGGAAAAGTTATTTAATATAAGAATCAAATATTGTTTTGGTGAGTCCTCACCATGTCTGAGCTAGAGTTACTTCGACTAACCTGTCATGGATCCATAAAAATAATATTTAATTCATTTACCAAAGAGTTTTTAAAGAAACTCATGATATTAAGTCTCATGAATGAAAAAAAACAAATATTTGTTGACTAATAATTGCTTCGAGTTGAGCAATAGTTGGAGTTGCTTTGAGCCTGTCTTATTGATATCGAAATCTCTCGAAACTAAGAAAATCTTAAAAGAATCGCTGAAAACTTCTAGCTGCATCAAAGCAAAAAGATAAAAAAAGCTGAATGCTTTCCATCGCTATCATAGAGACTGGAAAAAATTATAATAAATTTAGTTGCAGCTTACATTGTTGTCCATAAATACATTAGCACACACATCTGTTCATCAGTTAATAAATTAAAGAATTAATATTGATAAATCAACCTGGCTTTCTTTCCCTAATTCTAAATTTATCATGAAACAAATATTATTTTATATTAGAATAGGTCAATCACCTTTCAAACTCTTAGTTCAAAAAAAGGTATACGTCACTGTCTTTGATTTCATTTTGAAATTGATTATTTACCTACCACTATTCTATGTAATTAATAACAATGATGATCGTTGAATAATTGTTTGATTAAATGAAAGTTATTGAAAATTGTTTATTTTTATCATTACACATATTTTTTTATGAGCACATTTTACTTAAAATTGTTAGTTTAATACATCGAAATATTTATCAATTATAGGATGAGCTGTTAAAATGAAGCGTTAAGTCAATTTTACAGCAGATAAATGTCGCATCACTAATGCTAAATTTTAATCATCGACTTTTGTGAATATTCATTTTTTTTTATCAGCAACTGCGTAAAAACGACGTCAATCAAACAGGAACAAACGATTTTATTCATAGATTAGTATGAACTGTAATGCCGTCAATAATTTCTAATGACGTTTATAAAAAAAAGAAAAGAAAATGATTACCTGCATATGAATTTTATAAATAGTTCTTACGGTATTCATTTGTCACTACATTATAAGTAGATAATGTTTCATATCAGATATCTATTCAATTTCATACTCTTACATATGATTTTTGCTACACTTCATATCAATCTTCATTATACAGATTGGGTAAATGAAAGTGAGAGTCATAATGTATTACAACACGATTGTTTGTGTGTTGCTGCTTCTATTGATGAAGCAAATTTTAATCGTGAAATTATATCTTATTGTATGAATGATGAATTGCCATTGAAATTTCATATCGAGAACAATAATGTCTTTCCAAAGTTTACCTTTGACGAACTTTTGAAACGGAATATTACAAGTCAACAATTATACCTTTGGTCATCACCAATAGATGTTGCTGAAAGTTATCAATTTTATTTAAACAAATTATCAACATCAAATGATATATTTCTCGAAACACAAGTTTTCTATAATTGCACATTACCAAGATTTGGTTCTATGTGTCAATATGAAATTACTTATTATCATCAAAATCATTTATCTTTAGATGAAATTATTCATGATTATTATCGTACATATGAATATAATCCGTATAATTTTACCTGTTATACTCATTTACAATGTAATCGTGGTCCTTTTCCAGCATGTTTAGATTGGAGTGAAATTTGTGATGCACAGGTCAATTGTCTCGATGAAGAATTTGATGAAGAACATTGTTGGCAAATTGAAATAAATAAATGTAATGATAATGAATATCGATGTACTAATGGACAATGTATACCTCAGTCGTTTTTTTCGAGATGACAGTAACACTTCTGATTGTCTTGATGGTTCTGACGAAATTCCAATAATCTTTGAACAAAGTTACAAATGTAAGACAGGTATACCATCATTTGAATGTGAAGAAAAGACATGTCGATATACATTCACTAGCGAGAGCCCGTGCATACTGCACCGATGCTTTTTTTCCTGTGAAGTTTCACTTCTGTCCTTTAGCCTTGTTAGGGAAATAGACAAAAACCCAGTTCGCATCGTATATATATAGAGAGATCGTACAGCCTAATACCCTTGTAGACTCATACTCTTGATGTAGTACTTCTTATAGCCTTACTCCGTTATTTCCGTATCCCTTATTTCCTTCCCAGTCTTATCCATTTATACTATACACCCTTATCCCTTAAGCCCATGTACCCTTAGCCTCTTATCCCCTTTACTCTTATATCCTTATATCCTTATCCCCTGCTCCCTTACGTAGGATATCTTGGA